CAGCACCGCCTGCCGCCGCGGCCTCCGCCGAGTCAGCCGCAGCCGTCGCAGCGGCAGCTGCAGGCTCAGGCGCAGTGGCCTCAGCCGTCGCCGGTGATGGCGCGTTCCAGCCCCCACCACCAGCCGCTGCCGCCGCCGCCCTGGCCGCCGCCAGTGCCTCCGCCGGCCCCGCCACGCCAGGCCGGGGCGACGGAGCTGCGGCTCTGCGCCCCGCCGGCGCGATCCGTTGCGAGCCAGCCCGAGGTCGCCACGGTGCAGCATGGCCGGCCGCCGCCGCTGCAGACGCCGTCCCAGTCGCGAGTGGCTGCTGCTGAGGAGGAAGAGTGCAGGCTCTCCGACGTGCTGGCTCTCGCCGACGCGATGCCGACGGCGTTGCCGCTCGGCGTGGCCGGCGAGGCGTCACCGGACTCGCAGCCTCTTGCCCGCTCCTGCCCGCCGGCGCCGCCCCAGGAGCTGGACCTCTCGATCGAGGCGATGGGCAGGCGGCTCGGCGTGCCGGCGCCGGTGGTCGACGCTTGCAGAGCCGAGCTCCGCGTGACTGCGCTGCACCGGTGGCAGGCCGAGTGCCTCTTGCTGCGCGGCGTGCTGGAGGGGCGCTCGCTCGTCTACTCGAGCCCCACCTCGGGCGGGAAGTCGCTCGTGGCGTGGCTGCTGGTTGCGAGGATGCTGGCGACGCGCAAGAAGAAGGCGCTGATCGTGCTGCCGTTCGTCTCGCTCGTCGAGGAGGTCGGCGCGACGCTGAGCGGTCTGCTCGCCAAGCTCAAGGTGTGCCGCACCGCCAAGAAGAAGCGGAAGAAGGGCATGGCCGCCTTGCCGCGGCCGGTGCGCGTCGAGGTGTGCCACGGTGCGCGCCACTCCGCCAACTTCGACAATTGCGACGTCGCCGTCTGCACCATCGAGAAGGCGCACCTGATCGTCAACAAGCTCGTCTTCGACAAGCAGCTGCACGAGCTCGGGGCGGTGGTGGTGGACGAGGTGCACCTGCTGGGCGACCCCAGCCGCGGCCACCTCCTCGAGCTCCTCCTCGCCAAGCTGCTCTTCGCACAGGCGCCGCCGGCCGGCCAGGGCGTCGCGGGAGCGGACGCAGGCGGCGCGGGCGGAAGCTCGGCCGGTGCCCGCGACGCGCCGCGAGGCACGCAGGTGGTGGCCATGTCGGCAACCCTCCCCAACGCGGCGCAGATCGCCGGCTGGCTGCACGCGGCGGTCAAGGAGGCCGACTTCCGGCCGGTCGCCCTCAAGCAGTACACTTTCAGCCTACGGGGCGGCCAGCTCGAGGCCGTTCCTGCGCCGGCCAGCGCCGGCGCACCGCACGGGCCATCGCGAGGGCGCGCGATGGTGGGGCGACGCCTCCTCGGACCGCTCACGCCCAACGACGCCGGCTGCCTCGGCGCGCTCTGCGCCGAGGTTGCGCACAGTCTCAACGGGCCGCAGGACGTGTTGGTCTTTTGCCCGACCAAGAAGGGCGCCGAGGGCGCGGCGGCGAGGGTGGCGGCCGCCTTTGGCGAGAAGGGCCTGCGCGCCCCGCCCGAGGTGCAGCAGCAGCGCGTGGCGCTCCTCTCGGAGCTGGAGCGAGCCATGTGGCCGCTGGACCTGCGGCAGCTGGGCGATGAGCCACCGCCGAGCCTGCAGGCGCTGCGCAAGACGCTGCCGCACGGTGTCGCCTTCCACCACGCCGGCCTCGACAACGAGGCGCGGGAGCTGGTTGAGATGGGCTTCCGCCGGCCGGGCACCGTCTGCGTCCTCTGCAGCACGTCGACGCTCTCCGCCGGGGTCAACTTGCCGTGCTCCCGCGTGGTGATCACCTCGTGCCAAGACTACGGCGACAAAGGCTGGCAGTTCCTCAGGTCGACGAGGTACCGCCAGATGTCGGGACGTGCTGGCCGGACCGGGCTCTGTAGCCAGGGCGAGTCGATCTTGTGCGTGGAAAACGACACGGAGAAACGCAAGGCGGAGGAGATGATGCGCGCGCTGCCCGAGCCCCTCTGCTCTCACCTCGGCGAGGCCGCCCCGCACGCGCTGTGCCGCTTCGTCCTCGACGCGGTGGCTTGCGGTCAAGCGTCCGACAGCAGCCGGCTGCGGCAGGCTCTGTGCTGCACGCTCGCGCACCATCAGCTGCGCGTGAGCGAGCACCCCGATGCGAGGAGGGCGCTGGACGACGCCATCGGCGCCCAGCTGGCGTGGCTCACCGCGCGGAGGCTGCTCTCGCACAATGCGCAGACGCTCACCTGGAAGCAGACCACGCTCGGCCAGGCCGTCTTCCTCTCCGGCCTCCACCCGGCCGAGGCGGTGGAGATGCACGACGCGCTGCAGGCGGCGCTCAGCCACTTTCAGATGGGCGACGACCTGCACCTCATCTACCTGATGGTGCCGTCGGCCGAGAAGGTCAAGGAGCTCTTCCGTGACACCGGCGATGCCGGCGACGCCCGCGACAGCACCTACCGCTGGGGCCAGCTCGGCAAGCAGCTCGACGAGCTCACTCCCGCGCAGCGCAAGGTGGCCGAGGTGTGCGGCGTCGACTACGAGTACGTGCGGATGGTGCAAGGGTGGCGCGGGTCCGTGGTCAGCCCCGACGCGGCGCGCAAGGTGGACGCGTGCTCCAAGTTTTGGGCGGCGCTCATGCTGCGGCGCCTCAATCGCGGCGACACCTTCTCCCGGGTCTCGTCCCGGTTCGGCGCGTCGGCCGGCGAGCTCGAGAAGCTGCAGAAGGACGCGGCTGCACACGCGAGCCGCTTCCGGACCTTCTGCTTTGAGGCGGGCTACAGCAACGTGGCCAACCTGGCGGCCTACTTCTTACAGCGCGTCGAGGGCGCGGAGGACGGGCCGAGCGCCCTCGCCATCCAGGGCATCGCGCAGGTTGGCCCCAAGCGTGCCAGGGCCCTCATCCGGGCTGGCTTCAGCTCGGTCGAGCGGATCGCCCAGGCGCCGCACGACGCGCTGCTGGGTGCGCTGCAGAAGGGCGAGAGCGGCGCGGACGCCGCGGTGCTCGCCGCAGCCGTCGGGAGGATTCGGAGGGGCGCGGCCCGTCTCGCGGCCGCAGACGGGCCGGCGCAGCCGGGCCGGCGCTCGTCTCTGGGCGCGCCGGGCCGGCGAGGTTCCTTGCCCTTCGAGATTGTGCCGGTTGGCAGCCGCTTCGGCGCGTGGGACGCCTTCTTCGAGGAGTGGCTCCGGGCGCCCGTCTTCTCCTGGGCCGCCCTCACCGCGGACGCCGGCGGCAGTGCGATGCTCCAGGGAATCGCCGTCTGCCTCTGCCCCGACAAGGTCTTTTGGGTGCCCCTTTACGAGCCTCCGCCCGGGCCTGCTCCCGAGGGGGCGGAGCCGCTCGAGGCGGCGGAGCCGCTCGAGGCGGCGGAGCCGCTCGAGGCGGCGCCCCGCCTCTCTCCGCAGGAGAGGCGACCAGAGAGGCGGCTTCGCTCGCGCTTCGTCGAGGGTGTGCGGAGGGCTTTTGCAAGCAGCAGGAGGAAGGTCGGCCATGACGTGGCGCCGCTCCTGCCGCTGCTCTCCTCGCTTGGCGTGCGTCTCGAGCCGCCCGTCATCGACACGAGCCTCGCTTGCGCGCTGCTCTCCCCTGGACAGAGCGGCCCCCGCGAGCTTGCCGCGGAGCTCTCCTGCTGGCCCGACACGCCCTCGGCGCTGGTGAGCGTCGCCGCGTCGTGTGCGGGCCACGAAGAGGCGTGTCTGCGCGCGGCGCAGGCCCTTTGCTTGGTGGAGCGCGTGTCGCGGCCGCTGTGGGACGAGCGGCTCGAGGAGCCGTTCAGGCTTCTCTGCAGCCTGTCGAGCTCCCCGGTGCTGCAGAGGCTCGGGCAGGGCGTGCTGCGGCTGAGCGCTCGGGCAGTGGAGGCCTTCGAGGCAGCCGCTCGGGACCGGATGGCTCTGCTCGAGCGGCTGGCCGCGCCGCTGCTCGACGAGCTCAACCCCGGGCTCGAGCTTGCGACGCTGGCTCAGACGGGTCGGGCGGACGACGCAAGCGCGGCGTCGCTGGCGCCCTCTCTCGCATCCCTGACGCCCGGCGCGGTCCAGCGGCTGCACGCCGTGTGGGCGGGCGTCGACAGCGGCGATGCGATGGCCTTCGGTCCGAGCGAGGATGCGCAGGTCGACGCGCTGCTGCGACGAAGCGCTTGGCGCCACCGGCTAGCGTTGCTTCTGCTCGAGCTGCGCTGGCTCAAGGCCCAGGTGCAGGCCGTTGACTCGCTTCGCCGGACGGAGCAGCCGCGGGGCGGAGGTGAGCTCCGGCTGCAGCTGCGGCCCGACCCCTTGCGCGGCGGGCTGTGGCCTGCGCGGGACGAGATGGCTGCTTTCGTGGACCTCGCCTGCCAGCCGAGCCCGGCTTGGGTCGGTGCTGCGGCCGCCGAGGAGGGCGGGTGTGCCCCCGACCCGCGGGCTGGCGAGGAGCTGCCGGCGGGCGCGTTGTTGCCGGAAGGACCGGCAGCGCGCACACCGTGGCACCTCGCCGGCTGCCTCGAGTCGCCGTCGACGGGGTGCGAGACGCTCGTCGTGCGGGTGCCTGAGCTAGCCCTCCTGATGCTGGCACACCACGCCGCAGACGAGCACTTGCTCGCGGCGGCGGCGGAGGCGGCCGCTTCTCCGGGCGGATCTCAAGCTTGCGAGTTTGTCGCCCGCACGGCAGCTCGCATGCTCCGGCGACCGGCGGACGAGGTGGAGCCCGCGGCCGTCGAGCGCATGCGCCAGCTGTGGTCGGGTCTTCTCGGCGGGTGGGTGGAGCCTCGCGCCGAACCCCCTGCCGGCCCGGCCGAGGCGCAGGCCGAGCCGCCGGCTGTCAGACTCCTCTCCGCCTTTCCGGGGGTGGCCGCCGCTCTCCTCCAGCACGGCAGAGCCGATGTTCTCCGATCCGCCTCTGGCCGCAAACTGCCCACCGAGAGCCTCCGCTCCGCACGCGTGCATGAACGGGCGAGTGCTGCGGCCGCGGCGCTCGGCCGAGTCTGTGAAGCCTCTGCGCGCGACGTGCTCACCGCCGTCCTGCACCGCATTGCGCCGCGCCTGGCCGCCGTCACCGCAGCCGGCACCGTCTCCTCCACGGCCGATGGGGGCGAGCCAGTGAGCTGCGCGCGGCTGCTCCTGCAGGCGCCCTCCGAGCTGCGCTTCTCCGTGCCGGCGGGAGCCGCAAACACCTCGGGGGCCGGTCTGCTGCCAGAGGTGCAAGCGACTTTGGACAGAGTGGCAGGGGAGTGGGGCCTGAAGGTCGCGCTCCGGGGCGAGGTGTACGTTGGGTCTTGAGTCAACGGCACGTTGTAGACAGTAGAATGTTGTGGGCAGTGAGATGGGAAGGGTCCCGGGTGTGATGCCTGATGGCTTGTACGTCGGAGCGGAGTACAGCGCACGTACAGTTTCCATGCGCAGTTTACGTACGAGCCTCAAACGAGTCCGTCGTCGCGTAGGGACAGCGCGAGGCGCGTGAAATCGATCGCCGTATGCCCATAAGCTACAGAGAAGG